AAAATATATTTCCAAATAAACACACTTTCCTAGCTGAATTCACTCTCAAATGTTTTACGTCTTAGTTAAATTAATAAGTTTAGGATCATTTGTAAGTGAATAAGCAAGTCGAACTTTTGTCAGGACTGTACTCTGGTATTTATTTACTGAACCATCACATTTATTTTGGGAAATTAAAGTAAACTACTGAAAAAAGAAAAGTAGACAAGTTATGTTTTAAAACTTATTTAAGACAACAAGCAAGATAAATTTGTGAATTAATACCAACTTCGGTTTCATAGAATTATTGTAAATACGTGTACTAAATATAAGTAAAATGTTAATTCAGAGTGTCGGACTTCATCATATCGGAAGTTCTTTTTTTAAATGAAACAAATCGCTCCATACCGAAAACATCAGTAGATTCGGTAACTTACATCGAATTCATCTAGTAGTCTGTCCAATATTTCATGCTGTCCATAGATTGCTAACCCCAAAATAAAACAGAATTAATTGAGTGGTTAGTTAAGAATAACTCGATCAAATATGCTGTTTTATCTAAATGAAAATATTGACTGTTGAATCATTAAGAATTAGTGTACACTTAACAATATTTTATAGTTGAAACCATGAACCAATAGTTAGACCTCCGCCTGGAGGCCCCCTGAGGCTACTGCCGGTCCCAAACACGGATAAATAATGTTTCTAGATGATTGCGTTAATGACTACAGTATCATACAAAAACTATGATTGAATCTGAAAATTGTATTTGGTTCACTTGACAACATAAAATATTATCCTCCATTTATATGAGTTTACTGGATTCGATGACTAGTTATATCTAACAATTGAGCGTGTTCATAATTGAACTACTCTAACCTACTTCTGAATTACATTTTAGTCAAATAACAAAAAATTAGAATGAAAAACTAGTCAATACAAACTAATTTACAATAAACAATTGACATTCACTACTTATCTAACTTTCATAAATGAACTATAAATTAATATCATCATATATGTTGAATAATCACTTTAGTAACATAGAAGTAGTTATGCAATAGGTGAATAATTCAGCTACAGAGTCTAATTTGGTTAATATTTACAGATAATATAAAAATAATTATCACATACCTGCTATGTATGCTTCTAGACCAATTCTCCGTTGTTGATTAGTATCATCTATAAGTAGATAGCAAGTTTATCAAATAAAATATCATCGAAAAACAGGGTTTCTCTTTAAAGCTCACTGTTAACCGATAACACCAAATTAAAGATACGTGATGTTCGGTTACTGTAATTCAAATAAGTGTAATGAAGAATAATGTAAACATAATGGTGAATAAGTAGATCTTAGTACAGATTCCTTACAAGATTTTAGTGGATAAGTTTTGAAAAATGAGTTTACTACTCTGAATAAATAGATATTGTGATTATGAATGCTGTAACAATCTATCATCTATATATTGCAGTCAGTTTTGTCAATACTATCAGTTAAGAAGCGAAATAGCTAGTTGGACATTTTGAGAATTTATACTTTCAAAGTCAGTCAATAACAACGTAGAACTTCTTACGTACGTACATCAGTACGAGTTGCCATACCACATTAGCACACTGATAACCATTGTCGATACGTAACACATGTCCAAGCCATCTTAACTGATGAAGTTTCACTACTTTATCAATTCATTTTCCATCCTTACCTAGTACTCGTTTCCTAACAACTGCATTACTTACTCCGTGTTCCCAGGATATACGAACAATGCATCAAAGACACCTATGATCGAATACTAGTAACCTACGAATATTCTCTACTCTTACCAGCCATGTTTCACTGCCATAAAGTAGGACGGAACGAACTGGTTCACTGTAAACTCGTCCCTTGTTTGATAGACGGATATTTCGCCTACATCATAAATGACGTAATTTAGCAGAAGCTAGTCGAACCTTCTGTATCCGTGCTAAGATTTCGTCACACACCAGACCACAAGGATAAATAAACGATTATGATGTTGAAGTTGTATTGAAACTGATGATTATTTGAACATAACCAATAGTCAATTCCAATGTTTATACATAACGAATTTCATGGATTTACGAAATAATTTTGGGTAAAAACGATTTAATGAGACAAATGAATTAAAAAAGGCGTTTTCATGACCATGACACAAAACAAGAAATTTAACGAATAAAGGTAATACTAGTCTGTAAATTGTTACAAAATGTCATCACCAATCAATATAGATCAGTAATTATATTTCTAATAGGAAAACTTCAATAGCCAGATTCATAATAAGCTTATGATACTTAGAGTAAAAGTGATTTTTAAAACATTCGGAACTTTAAATATAAGAAACGTTAATTATTGAAAACCCTGAACTACATAAACGGTGAGACTATAATTTATAGACGATTTTTAAGTGACGCTAGACTGACCTTGAGAGTGTCCAGCTAATAACCAGGACCAAATTAGGGTTATAAACCTGTTTGAGGAATTACAATTATAACTTATAGTTGATAGTTAAGGTTACGAATTAGATTAAGGGTTTTCATCACGAACTGACATCAGCTAGAATGCCAAAACTTTATTTATCCAAATGGATGAATGAATTTTATGCCGAAATTCAAGACGTCTTATCATATACATGATTGGTTTGTCCATAAATTATAGTCTTGCTATCTCATTATAAATTTTAAATGTAACCAAAACATCATAAAACGCTTTCATCATTACCTGCATCACTATCAAGACTCATTCGTAAAATAAATTGATAGGGAATAGAGTTTATCACACTTCCAGTAATGAATTATTCGGTTTTATTTAATTCTATTCACTTGTGAATCAGTATGGAAATTCTTCAATATGATAAAATAGAACTTTTACATTGAATGATTCGTTTCCGCCCTTAACTCAATATTATTTGAAGCAAGTACGTATATATATATGCAGTAGAATCTAATCAATTAACTAATGGTAACAGTGATAAATTAGAAAATCATAGGTTAAAATACTTTTTTTAAAGTTCCCATGGTTTCACTTATTTGGATCTTTACTTCTTTATTGTTTTCAACATAATAAAGGGGTGTAAGATAAAATTTTATCCATTCAGATTCACAATCGAATAAATGGATAGAAATATCTTAGAACATTCAGGAAAATATAATAAATGAATGAATGAGATAGAATTGACTTCTTTAGAATAGATACATGGGTTATACGGCAACGAACATGAAAGTAAAATAATACAGTACTGTATATCTTTGAAAAACAGCTATAACTGTAGTGAATGAGAATATAAATGGAGATCAATCGAATATGTTTGAATACAAAATTACAGAACAAATTAGTAAAATCTGAACACCATACAGGAATAAATTAATTTGCAAAATGTCGATTAATCGTTTCAGACTTCACTATTCATTGATTCACACTGCAATCATTCTTTGTTCTCATTCTCTTTTGTTCGATCATCTTAAACTTCAGCCGACAGGCATTTCGCTTTCGATTGGTGATACATACTACTTATATATGTGGACATCAGTACCACACACCATATAACTATTGTCAAGAGGATTATTAGAAATAAAAAGATATTCTTCAATAGCTATGTACTGACATCAATCCCCCATCTATTTGAACAGTTTACAACTAAGCAAATTATGTAATGTACAAATCATTTAGATCATATTGGTTATTTTTATACCTTCTTGCTAATTCCTTTTATTATATTCGGATGAAGAATAGGTGAATAGTAACCGCTAGGATCTATTTGTGGACTTTTATTACACATATTCTTATTGTATAACTATTAATTAACTATATTATATACATATTAATAGTCCTTTTATTTGACCTATTGAATATTATCATGCGATTTACTATTCTTAAGATGTTTCCATTTCATTAGTAACAGTCTCTCACAATCACAGCCACTTTCTGGCTGGATCTGTTCTATGATGCAGTCTGATTTGTTTGTATATAAACTTTTCATGTCTGAAATATATGATTCGTATGTCGGAGGCTGATATTGGTGTTCCGGACTAAAGCGGCTGGGTTAGGAGAGAAGCTACTACTTCAGAGGACCAATAAGAGCTCTAGACCGCTAGTAGAGGTTTATGCGTCATTAGTCTGGTTGTGTAAGTCGATGTCTCTAATTGTTTGTCGTATCATGTGATCTAATTAATCGAATATAAGGACATAATACTTATGACCATATTGCACTCATTGTCGTACAATTATCACCTCTTACCCATGTATCCTTTGGTATAACTTTTTTCAATAGCTGTGTTATCCTGTCTGTGTGTCTACATATTCAGTTATTGTTTATCAACTATAAAAACTGTGTTACACATAATTAAGCGTTTTTGGCTAGAGGGAGACCAATTCCACGAATAACCGAACCCATTTACTTATTTTCACAAACTACCCTTATGAAATAAACTCATCTTCAATACTAATCGTATTCAAGTCCTTATTTCCCGTTATCGTTAATAGGATTAGTGGCCAGATATTTGTGAGTGAACTCTTTATTTATATTATTTATGCCAATGTAAACGGATAGCTATCAATGACAGTGAACAAAGATCATGATTTACAACCATTGAATTCTAACTTAATCGTTAAGTGGTATGATGCTTAATTCAAACTACAAAAATGATTCTGTGTTTCATTGCATGTTAGGTTGTTGGTGTTTACTATCAGAAAACCTTTAAATCGTATGAAGCAACAGTCGTATAGCCCTCCGGTTATAATGATTATTAAGATAAAATTTATTTTATAATCAAACTACCAACCACTAAAGTGAGAAGAACTTCATGTTTTTAATCTTTCGTTTCATTCCCCCCTCTCAGCAATTGAAATTTTGACCAATCATATTTTAACGATGCATAACATATTGATTGACCTAATGAGTTTAAAGGATCACTGAGTCTTTGTTCTCGATCACAGATTGAGTGAACTTGTGATAGCTTCAAACTTAGCAGTACTCATTTAAAAGACTGTGATTTAAGAATATTTTGCCATGTATGATAATACATATCAACTTGGATTTGCTTTCCTCTTAACTGGTAAGTAAATTTTTTGATAAAATCTTATTTCCATAATTGTATTCATAAAATAAATTTGGATAGACGATCGTTAATTCGCAGTGGAAACAAGAGGAATTCGACTGTTGATTCAAACTAAGACATTACAAACACTAGTTCAAGCTTATCTGGGTAATACTTAGTATCATGCAGATATTGTTTCTTTTAGTATCTGCATCCTTAAACTCCGATCGTATTGAAATACACTCTGTTATTTTTAATATTCTTAGCTTGAGATAGAATGGTGGTCGGATGTAGTCAACAGGAAACCCTAGACCCGGTTTTCGTGCTATTTGGCACTCGTCAGCAAGGTGTACCTGTAATCTTGAGGGAACTGGTGCTCCCTGACGGAATCGATCCCGCGTCACGGTTTCGGTCCGGGTAGCCTGATGGTACTAGTGGCCACATTGCAACTCGGTTGATGGCATTCAATCTCTATTAAGAAGGGTTTGACACACATGACATTGATCACCACCCAGTGATCAATCAATTATGAATTCTTAGTTTTTCATAATGGTGGTTTTCGTTCTTTTCATATTAGTTTGGAGCGAATCGCATAGCCTTAATCTATTTGAAATCAAGAACTAATTATTAGTATCGTGGTAGTGAGTAATTCGTAAATATTCCGAAATAATCATCGCTGAAAGGGACTACCGAATTGAATTAAAGATATTCAAACTAATAAGTAGTAACTATGAATCTCTTTTAAATAAATAAGAATATTATTTAATATCCGAATCTATGATGAACATTAATTTAAATTACGGTGGTATGAATATTTATATTTGGCAGTTTAAGTTCACCTGCCTCCAAATTCCCTGGTTTGGTCGAAGGTGCGAAGAGTTAGCTCTTCCTCTCGAAATGCTCTCACATGGCCACACGTATGCAGCCATCTACAGGGAAGTCTTACTCACCGCTTCCTTGCAGTGTGGGTGTTGTTTACGAAATTGAGAAGACGAAAAGCGAATGCCCGGCTTCTTAACTGAGTTGGTGGATACGGTGAATCCACCCTAATTTCAAACCAACAGTGCACTAATCAAATCATATTTTTGACATTGAGATACATGGTTAATGAAAAATAGAGAAGTTCATAGGAAGCTTTATCCATATAGAGCTAGTCAACACTGGAAAATTAATGGATGTAAAGTTGGCTAAACGAGTTTTGAATTGATGAAGTATATTGAGAAAGTTAGTTAAAAGTCATCGCAACTATTGATCAGTTTGTGTTATCTATTTCAGGTTTGCTAGGCTTGTGGTTACACACCAAGAACATTTCACGGTTAACGAAGATAAGTTCTATTTTGCCCGATGGTTTGAAAACGTTTCATTATCATTTGGTTGCGGCTTGTTTGGGTAGCCTTGCAATGACACCTTTTAGGGTAATCGGTATTTATCAAAAAGGGTAAGAATAAATTTAATCTTATCTTAATGGATATACATATTTAACTTCCGGACGGTTCAGATCCTAATTAGCATGACTTACATTATTTCAGTCTTATGGCTTGAAACCTCCACTAAAACTCTAGAATAAATATGCACTATGATCAAACTTTTATAGAATATAATAAAATGATGATATATTTGTAGTGTCATAATGAGTAGAAACATCAATTAGAGTAACGACCTATTCCTCTGTTCTATTTAAATTTAACTGATTCGAATTGGGCAACTGGGCAGTATCCTAACCCTCACACACATCGAATGATTTACGTGACGCATATCTATTTGGTGGATCCTTTTACCAACGTTTGTGTTTAACTAAATCTAAATTTATTCCGATAGTTTGTTTTCTCTGAAGAAATGGCTTTCACCAGATCGTGTAAGGTCAGAAACTCTCATTTCTACTCATTAGGATATTAAAGATGTATCATTATTTTATAATTAAAATTCTACCCAATACTTAATTAATTTGAAGTTACCAAGTCTAACCTTAATAACAAAACATTCATTGAATACTTATTCTGAGTAGCAATTGAAATAAGCTCAAATCTTGAAGGTCAGATACAACGTAAGACCAGGTACACATATGCATCAGTCCAAGTTGCCACATCTCATTAGCACAACAAGATGAACACCGAATATTATAGAAGTAGTTGCCTCAATGATAGTAATATATATAAAAGAATGATTGTCTATAACGATATAAAACAGGAAGAAAGAATTAGCTAGTAGAGAGGAAGACATAAAGCAATTTTAACCTCACACTTTAAGGGAAGACAGAGAGCGTACATATAGTGAACGAAATTACTTAGTATCTCAATAAAATCTGAGACTTCAAGCACTGATGCCACGTTTTGATATTGCCACTCCTAACTTTCTTCCAACAACCTCCAACACTAGTCAGCTCTGTGCGCCCATGGCCCATTTACAACCTAATATAGCACCTAAAATCCTAGCCTCAATAATTATCGGACGCCTAACAAAGACTCGTGAACTTCAAACACGAAAAAATCAGGCTGGCATCAGACCTGGTCGTGGCTGCATCGACCACATATTCATTATTCGTCAGGATTCAGAACACAGGCATGCTTATCAGTGTTCGGCAATGATTATTTACTTGACTTAAAAGGACTGAAAACACTAATGAGATTTTTTATTAGTATTTGGCTAATGACTCATGAATATTGCTGTAATTCCTGGGACTTATTTATTCAAAGGAATATTCCACTGACTTTTGAATTGTATATATATTACATTCATCATAATTTTTACTTTAAGCTTTTGTTCATTGCTTTCATGAAACTGTTCATTCATCTCTGAAGAGGTAATTTAATGTAGAGCTAAATTGTAACCCCTTGGAAAAAACATTTATGAAAATTGAATGAAACATATGAAACGAAGTTTTTCTAATTGTGTATATGAGCACACTGATGAAACCAAAAATAAACCTAAAAGGAACTTTAATACAAAAAAGATTCTATCATACACTTTTAAATGGATTATCAGGTAAAACAGATGACAAAAAACACCGTTTTTTTCTTGTTTATCTTGTGAACCAATGTTAAATATACTAAAAGTATTCTAGAGGACATGAGTTGATTGAAGATGAACTACTGGACTTGTGTTCAAGTTTACAAATGGTACCAGGATATTCTAAAATTTCGAGATGGTGGGGATGGTTTATAGCTCAGTTGGATGCTTTTAATGAAGTTTCGTTCTCTGAGCTAGATGAGTTGATTGTGGAGCTCTCATCGTTCTTTTGAACGATATCATTAACACAAACTTCAGGTAGAAGTGAAGTCTGGTTTGTGTATTTTCGGTCTACTGTAGAGAACAGAATTCCATCAAAATATCTGAAAGATTATTTATTTGATTCTATCTAGTATTTCATATTCTTCAGATACATACGATAGGCCTTAACCTTCATATAATTAATCACCCATGATCATAATCTAAATTGTACATATTTCACATCATAATTTAGAGATATAAAAACTTAATCATTTTGTTATAGTATCAAATGTCAAATGATACAGTGAAAAAGAATGAGTTTAGATATTCTATCCAATGATCAAACTAAATGTTAATGGATTAATAAATCAAACATGTTTGATTCAGGATGGTTAAGAATAATGAAAGGAATAGATTAACTGAAAGAAGAACGGTTGCATATCATTAGGGCAATACTTCATATTCTATAAATAGTTATTTAAGTTATATAAGAACTTTTGTTTAAATCTGAACGAGTAGTTTCACAATATTTGGGCGCTGAATTAGTTAGTTTAATTAGGATTACTATCCACATTTGGCCCTGGTTACGTACGTAAGAATACTATATATAAAGTCATATATCCTAACACTGAGTTCTAGTCTTTTCCAATTAGTGTGGACCATACATACTCTTGATAGTTGAAAAATGTTTTAGGATAACCCAATTATAACAGATAGTGTTATTCGTCAGTATATTGATACAATTTATTTAGTCACCTGTATACTGTTATTTATTATGGTTTTCGCTGTAAACTACCCATAGACTTTAGTCTCTCCTATAAGCTAACGTTTTGTATGAATGCAGAATTTTCTTTCTAAAGATTGTACAGAATGCAAATATCTTACATGTTTCAGTACATCAATCAACGCAAACATTACCAACGTGATTATATTTGAAATTCTACTACTGTGAATGTAAGAGGTAGTGATTAATAGATAGGGAATAATTCAAGAATGGAAAATTATTTAACAGGTTAAAATAAGGCTTATGATAAGAGAGACATGAATATGAATAATTTAGTTAATCAACAATTATACAACAAAAATATACGCACAGTATTGGTCGGTAAATAGATCCCAAAAAATTACCACTCATTATTCTTATCGGGACAACAACCAAGTAGTATTATATTGAACGTGAACACAAGTAAGGACAACCGAATGTGTTTCAGCACAAAATTACAGAATCTCTTAGCGAAATTTGTGAACCATACCGTCAGTACTTCATTTGGAAATAAATCAGTCAATCGTCCTTTTTTCCACACTAATCATTCTTTGTTCTCGTTCTCTTTTCTTCGGTCTTCCTAACCTTCTATCTCCAAACATGACACTTTCAATTGATAATCCATATTACTTATATCTACCAACATCAGTAGCATACACCATATGACTAAACATTGATAGTAAGCTGTTCAGTAAAATACTGTATTTTGTTTCAACTAACTTAATATGTAAATATGTTAAAGTCTGCACGTTATATCTACTACTGATTGGTAGTTGTAACGCTATTCATTGACTTATATCGAAATACAGAATTGAAAGCACAAGATTAATTCAATAATAATAATAATAATAATAATAATAATAATAATAATAATAATAATAATAATAATAATAATAATAATAATAATAATAATAATAATAATAACTGATCCAAGAAATGAATTTAAGGTTGTTTATATGATTCGTTCAAATCTACCCAGATTTCTTCGCATCCAACTTTTAAAAATAGCCGAAGCTCTTACCATCCAGGAGCTTAAACCAGAACTATGTGTACAAAAGAAGTACGTCTTATGGTTATCGTTACCTTGGACTTAAGTATTTTGATTATCCAATTATTATTATTATTACTGCATTCTCCCTTTTATTCAATATATTAGTTAATATTAAAGATCATTTACTCAAGGATGTGTATAGATATATCTATAAGGAACCAGTTACATTGAAGAAGTTGTGAATAATTCTACTTCAGTCTTATTCAGTTTTCATAACTTTCAAGTGTTGAAAAGAAATTTCCAGTTAAATATTTTAGGACGAAACGGGCGTCCAGTGCTTCCAAGTTTTCCATGATGGTCTAGTTTCAACTGACTCATGATCTTAACCATTGAAATTACTACAATCTCCACAAAATCCATCTAATATTTTATTTCTTTAAATATTTCAGATGGCCTTTTGGTCATTTTGGCTGTCAGTCATATGCATTTGCTGGAATGGTTTTTGGAATGACATCAATTTATTTGTCATGTTTTATCTGTTTCTTCACTATGGTTGAAATATTGAACTTAACCTATAGTAAGTAGACAAAGATTATATTCTGTTATAACTTTTAGCCTGTGTGCCTTGTTAATGTATAACATAATGATATCATTAATTAGAGAACAGTGAATTATCGACAGGACCAATGACGCATAAAACCCGTGCGAGCAGTCTTTAGCACTTATTATTATCACGTAATCTAACTTATCATTATTTAATTCCATTAATCTCTACAATTATCACACAATTTATGAACTTCACTAAATTATTACACCACTCAACCTGGATTACCCCCCCCTCTTTTAACCTCTGACCTGTTTCTAGCATCTATATATAGTTATTATTATAATCCAGTTATTTACACTCATTTATGTCAATTGTTTCACACTATCTCCATGTAAAAAAATTCTATTACAATTTTGGTTTGTAAGCAGCTGACGAGAAACCTCGGAATAATATGAATTCATACTATTCTGCATCAATGTTTGTTCTTGCTCTATTTAAAATGAAATATGTACTCTGGATTCCAGTGCTAGGCATGGTCCATTTAATCTAAGTAGAAATAGACTATTTATCTGCATTTGATTAGCCCTAATTTTAACGATCATTTCGATTTCTTCCAAATTTGACTGGGTCCTATACAAGTGACTTTATCAGTCCAGCAAAGTATGTTAAATTAATTCTTACGTCATACCGATCTTATAGGAATTACCTTGACATTTTATGAGCAAGCACACGACATCGAGATTCAGGTTGTTAATGAAGGGATAATACATAACCTTGAATTTAAAGGAAACCTATATAACTTCATAGTAAATAACAGTTTAGTTGTGTTATATTGTGATGTCAATTAAAAGCTACCAGTTCCTTGTATATTGAAGGGCAGCGAAAACACTGTAAATAAATTTTAAGAATGAAAGTCAAATTGAACTGTGATGATAGTTATTATCCTCCATTTTTTTACAGTCCGTCATTTCATATCTAATCAATATAATTACATTCCTTTTGGAATTTGGATGATCGGTGCATTGTGGGCTATTCTACCACTCTATGGATATGGCAGGTAAAGCGTACCTTCTTTTTACTGATAATCTATATGGTTGCTTACAGTTCCAAATGAAGGCTAAATGCATTATACCGATTGATTTTACATGTAATTTACTGAACTACCAACATTTAGGATCAAATCACTCAAATAATAACAGTCTTATCACCTTAACTGAATAATATTCAATCATTAACATATATATATGTTCAGCAATCAACATAGCAATTGATAAAATAAGATTTATAGTTCAGGGGCTTGGACTAAACAAAATATCTGGTACTTTAAGACTACTACTGTTGATTAAAGTTTCAACTTTAATTAATCAAAAAAAGCATCATATTCCTTTTTCTTCATCATCACATGGGTCCAATAAATAATTCCAAACATGAGGATTAGGCCAAAATTTGTCATTCATCCTCTTATTGATTACAAATTTTCAACGTGAAAAACCTTTTTTTGTTGCTGTACTGACTATTCAAACTTCAAATCAAGACATAGTTTCTTTATTTTTTGGTTAGTAAATTTTTAGTAATACTAATTTATAGTTCAGTTACTTCGTCATTTTATTTTTGGATTTATTCTAAAATACTCATTAAATATTTGCAGTTCAGAATAAAGTTAGCAGTATGTCAGTAACAACGTAGAACTTTATATGTACGTATATCAGTTCGAGTTGCATACCATATTAGCACACTGATACAATTGTCGATTCAAATCCTGTAGTGGTAGAGGTAGTAAAAGTATAAGCGGTAAAGATGTTATTCAAGGAGTATAATCCAGTGAAATAAATTTAGAAAGAGAAAAAAGGGACATGAAGAATTGAGAAGATTAGGATTTGGAAGAACACGAAGAGAGGATGCACCTGAGCCATTGCAAACGATTTTGAGCCATGCCATTCAAGGTCTCTAATCATCGGTTGCTATCGTCTTGAGGATCCCAACCAGATAGTTTACACCTACCAAAAAGGTTCATTCAGTTCACTTGTCAGTGACTTCATGGAGTCGTGCCATGTTTTGATCTGGCCGCCTCTAGCTTTCTTCCAACCTACTCCTACACCATAAAACATCGCTCTTTGGGGCAGTCGGTGGTTAGGCCTACATAACACATGTCCCAGCCATAAAGTTAGCATATTAATAAGAATCATATGTTTGATTAACTGACTTAAGATGAAATGAATAAGACTAAACAAAAATCTATATTCATTAGAAAATTTTATTCAGTATGTATTTTAAGTGAATGCCATTCTGGTAACTGTCTGGCGGGTCAACAATCTGCCTTAATTAAACAAGTCAACATCGATTAATCAAATTTACGGTCACATTAAAATATAAATAGACGAAATCAAGTCATAACACTAGTAATGATACGTCTGTAATATCTCAGTGAACATAAAATCGAGTTTCTGATGTTTATTAGCTCAGTATAAGTTATGGTAACGATCATACAACCAATTTTGTTATGGTTAATTTTAGTTAAGTGTTTTTTACTAACTTACTTAACAGATAATGCTATTGGAATAGTCACGATTCGCATATTTCTTTGTAGTGTTATAATCACTAGATCATATGACAGACTCTAGCTAATATGTTGATCACTTAAATATCACTAGATGATTCATTCTCTTCCGCATGTATATATGTACTCAAATCCTATTATTATTAGCTTTTGCTTTGCTGTGCCCTTATGCAATTTGACTATAAATTTGTCTATGTACTGGATCATATATACCTATTTGCCTCTCGGCTTCAAATGAGCTTAATGTGATTATAGCTTTGTGATAAGTGCTATCCACTAATAAACTGTGGTTGCTGCTTCTCATTGCCTTCTGATTTCATACACCGTTGAGATTTATATTATAACGGTTATTGAGGTGATAGATTAACGAAGCAAGGCCACTACAAAATTGCTTCTTCATTAGGACATTGAAAGTAGATCATTATTCTTTATTCTAAACAACCTATACCATTTTAAATGTGTTTGAAATGATTATCAAGTCGAAACTTGATAATGATACTAAATCACTATGTTAGCTTTTTATAATGTTTCAGATATACATTAGAACCTCATAAAACATCATGTCTATTGGACTGGACTAATATGGATAAAAGCATGAAATTGTATATGTTTTCACTAATGATATTTGGTTATGTACTTCCATTCGGTATCGGTATTTGGTCACAATATAAACTGACACAGCATACAGTATCGGATGCAAATAAAAATAAGAAGAAGAACACTACAAAGATTGAGATTCTTATAAAGGTAGATTTATTTATTTCATTATTGCTTAATTATTTTTAAGATCTATTTCATGGAAACTCCGCCTTGAGTCCCTCCGGGGGTTACTGTCGGTCCCAAGTCCGGACAAAGGAGGAGGGTTGAGCATGGCGTTAGCGTCCGCATCCCGTAGAAAACTAACTCGCTAAAAAACGCTAACTAGAAAAAATTATTCAAACCCTTTAAACTCTGCCCTGGGAGTCAGAAGGTCTTCATTTAGAAGGACTATGACGCCTCATGATGAAAGCCGAGTTCCTTCGGAACTCACGAGGCCGATGCCCCTTCTGACAACCAGAGCAACCATTTATTTAGGTACATGGAATACTCGTACAATGTGGGAAACCGGGAGAGTCTTCCAAATTGCTGAATTGCTGCTGCATGTCATGGAGACTAAAAAAGATCAATGATTTATTGAACTCACTGGATGAGTTGTGTTGTTTTGATTTCTTTCATTGGTTAAGACCAAACTATAACAGAAGAATTGCACTAACATTTGTTTTACACTCCAAATGAACATTGTCAGTATTCTACACCGGTCCTTTTAATGACTTTGATAAGGTGTTTTATATAAATGCATCGAATAACTTATCTGTTTTTAAAGTATCCCAGAAAATCCCTAAAATTAAGGTCCGTGAATATATTTAGTCTGTAATATAGTGAATTTGTGTATTTTATCAACATTAAAGAGGCTTTATCTACCACTTATGTTACTTCATAATCTTCACAATTGAAAGGTTTATTTATATTTAGAAAAGAGTTTTGTGGATATTATAATAGTTTATTAGTTGAGTTCATGAGTCAATTTAAGATAAACCACCATGGAAAACCTGGAAACACTGAACGGGCGTTTCGTCCACCAATGTCAGTGGTGGAGGGTGGTGCAATTTCGTGGATTGGTTGGAGTTAGATAATAATACCGTTAGATGCCGGCTCAGTTAATATTAAACCGTGAAAAATAAAATGATAAATTTGATACGACTAACAAAACAATGATAAACCAATTATCATAACAATGATATGAACTATAATATAGGGTAGTATGAAGTTTCTGAAAAATCGTAAAAGCTTAGCCAGTAATAATAATAATGATAATTTTGATGGAGTTTTGTTCTCTGAGCTGGATGGTTTGGTCGTGGAGCTTTCATCGTTCTTCTGAACGACATCATCAGCACAAATTTCATATAGAAGTGAAGTGTTCGAATTTCTCCATATGCGTTTCACAGCTTGTTCTGTACACCTCGACGTTGATTGGTTCTTATTGACCTTAAATTTGTCATTGTTTACTTCTTTGTTTTGGTTGTGTCTCTCTTTGGTTTGATTTTTGTTCCCATATTTGTGCATGATGTTCCTGATTGGTTGATAAACTGGATTGATTTCAATATGTTTGTTGATTGCTGATTGACCTGAGTGCCAGGCTTTTAAAAATTCTCTGGTGTTTTTGGAATTTCCTCTATCCAAGATTTCCACATTTTCTCAATCGAATGAGTGTCCGCAGTTTTTCACGTGTATTTATATAAGTGAGGAAATATCATGGTGTTTGACTGCTAATTGATGTTCATGTAGGCGAAGGTGGCGTCCGCTTTGTCCGATGTAGTGTGTTTCGCAGTTGGCACAATTTATTCTGTAGATGATGTTTAATTTGTTTTCCTTTGGTTTTCCACCATTTCCGTCATGATAATAATAACTATTAAATAGGGCTGAAAAAGATGAAATTGTCACATTATACCCCTGAAACAAAGCAAAGTGATGTAAAAACTGTTTGCATTCAAAATTCGGGATTGATACAAAGAATCCATTCTATTTGGATTACTTTGTAATGTAATAGGTAACATATTTCAGATAGTATAGTTATTTATATGTTAACAGGATGCTGTAACGCTTGTTATGGAAGAAAAATATCGGTATAGGCAATCGTTAGTATTGAGTTTCTTAGAACACTTTATCTTTTCGCTCCTTGGATTAACATTTATAAAGATTCACTGAAAGTGATTGTCTTGCCTTACTTTTACATTCTGTTAAATGTTTTATATGGCGTTTTTTTAGATGAAAATCGTAGCGGTCAGTGAATAAGCTTCATCTATACAAGTTTTCTTGATCTCTGACGGATGATAGGTGAAATCTCTTTGAAAATGTTACTTAATTGGTACTCTACTTATCAATGACTTAAGTCATCATCATGATCATGTTAAACTTAATATCATCAGTGTTGTGACTTTATGTCCGACCTTTTATCACATGATTTATCCACCAATCAAAACACGATTTATACAATCTTAGCACCGTGCCAAACCAATGACGTTCGACCGGTATGGGCAGTCTAGCGTCCTTATTGGTCCTATGTCCGCCTAACCCGTCCACTTGAGTCCAGAACACCAATACCAGCAAATCGGATCGAATTATTTATTTCAGACATACTTGGTTTATATATCAACCAAACAGACCGCAACATACCATAAAATAGGAAATAAAGTTTGTACACAATAAAGCCAAAAAGTGACTGTGAACGTGTCAATAAACTGAACATAACTTAGGAATAGTAAATCGTAAAATAATAACTTATGGGTCAAAATAAGGCTTATAATGAAAGGAATATAAATATACATAATATAATTATTGAATAGTTATACCATAAGAATATATAGATAATATCAGTCAAATAATATGTCTCAGGAGTTACTCGTGATTTAATCTTTGCTCGGATATAACAATCAGGTTTGTAGTTCAGTTTTCTCAACACCAGATTGTATGTGGTGTTGGTCAGTTTAAGATGATGGTTGGGCAAAGCTGTGTATTGACTGATGTTAGAGGCACATACTACTGTGCTTTAACTTGATAGTCTGGTACTTATCGTGTTCATCAAGAAAAATGATGGTCCTGGATTCGACACCGTACAGAGTCCTGATTAAACAACGTCGGACCATAGTAAATAAAGTTTCCAGAATTTCTAATGTCTACTTAAATGTTATCGATTCATTTTTTCTAAAGAAAATATCTTACCCATGTATTAATGAAGTGTTTTTCTTTGATCTTTTGTTCACTTCATGAAATCATTCAACAAAGTTGAATAATTCAATCTTATTATTCAATATAGTTGGTTGGTTGTCGTATGCTCTATTAGCCATTAATTCATTAATACCTGGACAAATAACATTGAATCCATTTACATATTGTATACCACAACTTCTTGCAAAAATTTCTCAAGCATTTTTACCTATAGCTTATAGTTATACAGAAAAACAATTTGGACAATGGAATAAAGCATATGGAAATATAGAATAGAAATATTATTTAATTTTTGAACAAATTTTCTTGTAGTATCTTTTATATTATACAATAGTCAGATGTAATAGTAATCGTTATGTAATCAATTGTTTGTTCTTATTTCATTTCTGTTTGGGTAAATCCTGTAATCTCTATGAACAATTGAGTTTGAAACATAACTGATAAGTTTTATTAATTTGAACACTTTATTCAGTTCCTAAGCTATTCTGGTAATCCGCAAGCTAGAACTACATCTACAAATACCCTTGTTTTTCTGTACGAAAACGAACCTTGGAGTAAAGTGTCTCTCTCATACTTTGCGCCTTCTTTCTGGTGTTGAGGTCGCTGTATAGTTCTAGCGTGCGGGTTATCAGAATATCTTACGAACGAATATAGCGTTCAATCGACAAGACTTATCAACAATCAAAACCGAAAATCCGAAAGAGATAAAAAGCTTAAAATCAAAATGTGAAATTATCATTTCATGAAAGTTAAATATTGTGTGTTGCTATATGAGAAATTATTGTTTCTATGCTGCCACCTTCAAGAGTTACCTTAGTTGTATAAACAATTGAATATTGTTATAGGAACTGTAAAACAATCAAAATTTTTTTGCTTTATTCTTAAAACATTCAGAATCAAATTGAAGTACATCAAACACTTTGTGGTCTAAAAATGTTTAGAATAACGATTTGTGAGTACTTTAGTGTTAAAGATTCTAGAGATCTAATTACATGAACAGTTTTCTGAATAGATTTGAAGAAAACAAAAAGAAGAAAGAACTGACTAGATTTATCCCACTGATTATATTACTCATTTAATACTGAAAAACTGTTTTTATAATTTGGATAGATCTTTACTAAACTTCCTTCCAAATTCATAATCTCTCTCATTTCAGTAATATTCCACCTAATTGTCTTCAACTTAAATTTATATGATTCGGAAGTGTTGAACTATTCTGTTTAGTTCTATGAAACAAATACGAAATCTGTTTGTGTCAAGCAAATTTATTACTCTGTTGCGCGGCGTCGAGTCACGGTTGATCACGATCTCCACTACAGGAAGACTACGTGCCAGTTAACCGATAAGATCACCCATAGGCCAAATATCAGAAGGCAGTTGGTGGCTGTAGTCGAGATGTATTTGTTGGCGATCTCGTGGTATCGAAAGAATACCGAGATCGTGCCAAAGGAGTACAAGTGTGGTTACTGAGTGTAATCGAATCCGTGCAAGGTCACAATCGACGGAAGGAAGAATGTCTTTAATACAGTTAAACAAACAAGTACAGTAAAACAATCACTGGTACAATTGGTTATAATAATAATTGTTTCCATTAAACCAATCGCGTTCTCTTGATAAAAGTAGGTCACTACAACTCTACATTCTATATAGTAAAATCCTCACTTTTTCGAAGTGCTAATAGTAGAAAAGCATTATACATGATTATCAGGAATTGAAGTATCAACAATAGAACTCACTTCCAAACATTTTGGATTTCCCCAAGCTGCAGCTGCATGTATAGGCATCATTCCAGTCAATTCATCTGAATACAATGTTACCTGATCAAGTTTTATTGATTGAAAGACACTAAATATCAAAATACTTCTGATAACATAATTTATACTAAAACAAATGCATTTGGTTAATATTAGCAGAGATCAATAAAGCTGATAAATATCATTTGATAATTAAATCAGGAGTTATGATTATTTGACTAAATGAATGAGTCTCAGTTCTATTTACATCAAACCCATTTATTGGATTCTGATTTCATCTATGTTTATAGTGAATATCTTAGATAAATGATCATATAAATATCAATTTGATAGTTGAATTCATCAGTCAATTGAGGTTATACCATCATGGAAAACCTGGAAGCACTGGACGGCTGTTTCGTTCTAGTATGATACTCCTCAGCAGTGCGTATTCACTATAAAATCCACAAAACCACTCTCTGAATATAAACATCAGTTTATTTGTGAAGGGTTTGGTTATTTTTTCATATTTATAACACTTAATATGTTTATCAACTAGCTGATATATAATCTTAACGAAGTGACATTAATAGACTTCAATTAATGCTTTTTCATTGTGACTATTAGTAAACTCTTTGCCAGTGTTAATAAACGTTGGCAAAAGACTAGTCCTGCAACTTTCTTCGATTGTTATTTGAAAACTTCAGGAACTAAGGAATGGTTAATCTTAATTCAGTATACTGTTTGTTTCTCATTAATGGTGATAATTTCTAAGTTAGACCTTTACTGAACTCCTAGAATCACTGGACAGCTGTTTCGTTCCAGTATGGAATTCTTCAGGAGCACATATCCCCGATCCCGCACGTGAGACTCGAACCCAGGACCATATGTGCCTAGTGAATGCTTAAACTCAAGACTGCTGGGCTGACGTCCAACGATGTCATTGTTAATGTCCATCTTCCAATGTTTTTAGTGGGTAACTGCCTCATACCCGACAAAACTGAACTATGCTGTTCACGGCTTTTCACTAGATCTCCAGAAGCTGCATCGCGAAGCTCGTCACTGGGATGTGAAAATAAGATCATGATTTGAAAGTAATCCAACAATCTCCACAACAACAGTGATCCTGGTTACTAGCAGTTGAATGTTTCTCATTTTTAAAATATATTTCCAAATAAACACACTTTCCTAGCTGAATTCACTCTCAAATGTTTTACGTCTTAGTTAAATTAATAAGTTTAGGATCATTTGTAAGTGAATAAGCAAGTCGAACTTTTGTCAGGACTGTACTCTGGTATTTATTTACTGAACCATCACATTTATTTTGGGAAATTAAAGTAAACTACTGAAAAAAGAAAAGTAGACAAGTTATGTTTTAAAACTTATTTAAGACAACAAGCAAGATAAATTTGTGAATTAATACCAACTTCGGTTTCATAGAATTATTGTAAATACGTGTACTAAATATAAGTAAAATGTTAATTCAGAGTGTCGGACTTCATCATATCGGAAGTTCTTTTTTTAAATGAAACAAATCGCTCCATACCGAAAACATCAGTAGATTCGGTAACTTACATCGAATTCATCTAGTAGTCTGTCCAATATTTCATGCTGTCCATAGATTGCTAACCCCAAAATAAAACAGAATTAATTGAGTGGTTAGTTAAGAATAACTCGATCAAATATGCTGTTTTATCTAAATGAAAATATTGACTGTTGAATCATTAAGAATTAGTGTACACTTAACAATATTTTATAGTTGAAACCATGAACCAATAGTTAGACCTCCGCCTGGAGGCCCCCTGAGGCTACTGCCGGTCCCAAACACGGATAAATAATGTTTCTAGATGATTGCGTTAATGACTACAGTATCATACAAAAACTATGATTGAATCTGAAAATTGTATTTGGTTCACTTGACAACATAAAATATTATCCTCCATTTATATGAGTTTACTGGATTCGATGACTAGTTATATCTAACAATTGAGCGTGTTCATAATTGAACTACTCTAACCTACTTCTGAATTACATTTTAGTCAAATAACAAAAAATTAGAATGAAAAACTAGTCAATACAAACTAATTTACAATAAACAATTGACATTCACTACTTATCTAACTTTCATAAATGAACTATAAATTAATATCATCATATATGTTGAATAATCACTTTAGTAACATAGAAGTAGTTATGCAATAGGTGAATAATTCAGCTACAGAGTCTAATTTGGTTAATATTTACAGATAATATAAAAATAATTATCACATACCTGCTATGTATGCTTCTAGACCAATTCTCCGTTGTTGATTAGTATCATCTATAAGTAGATAGCAAGTTTATCAAATAAAATATCATCGAAAAACAGGGTTTCTCTTTAAAGCTCACTGTTAACCGATAACACCAAATTAAAGATACGTGATGTTCGGTTACTGTAATTCAAATAAGTGTAATGAAGAATAATGTAAACATAATGGTGAATAAGTAGATCTTAGTACAGATTCCTTACAAGATTTTAGTGGATAAGTTTTGAAAAATGAGTTTACTACTCTGAATAAATAGATATTGTGATTATGAATGCTGTAACAATCTATCATCTATATATTGCAGTCAGTTTTGTCAATACTATCAGTTAAGAAGCGAAATAGCTAGTTGGACATTTTGAGAATTTATACTTTCAAAGTCAGTCAATAACAACGTAGAACTTCTTACGTACGTACATCAGTACGAGTTGCCATACCACATTAGCACACTGATAACCATTGTCGATACGTAACACATGTCCAAGCCATCTTAACTGATGAAGTTTCACTACTTTATCAATTCATTTTCCATCCTTACCTAGTACTCGTTTCCTAACAACTGCATTACTTACTCCGTGTTCCCAGGATATACGAACAATGCATCAAAGACACCTATGATCGAATACTAGTAACCTACGAATATTCTCTACTCTTACCAGCCATGTTTCACTGCCATAAAGTAGGACGGAACGAACTGGTTCACTGTAAACTCGTCCCTTGTTTGATAGACGGATATTTCGCCTACATCATAAATGACGTAATTTAGCAGAAGCTAGTCGAACCTTCTGTATCCGTGCTAAGATTTCGTCACACACCAGACCACAAGGATAAATAAACGATTATGATGTTGAAGTTGTATTGAAACTGATGATTATTTGAACATAACCAATAGTCAATTCCAATGTTTATACATAACGAATTTCATGGATTTACGAAATAATTTTGGGTAAAAACGATTTAATGAGACAAATGAATTAAAAAAGGCGTTTTCATGACCATGACACAAAACAAGAAATTTAACGAATAAAGGTAATACTAGTCTGTAAATTGTTACAAAATGTCATCACCAATCAATATAGATCAGTAATTATATTTCTAATAGGAAAACTTCAATAACCAGATTCATAATAAGCTTATGATACTTAGAGTAAAAGTGATTTTTAAAACATTCGGAACTTTAAATATAAGAAACGTTAATTATTGAAAACCCTGAACTACATAAACGGTGAGACTATAATTTATAGACGATTTTTAAGTGACGCTAGACTGACCTTGAGAGTGTCCAGCTAATAACCAGGACCAAATTAGGGTTATAAACCTGTTTGAGGAATTACAATTATAACTTATAGTTGATAGTTAAGGTTACGAATTAGATTAAGGGTTTTCATCACGAACTGACATCAGCTAGAATGCCAAAACTTTATTTATCCAAATGGATGAATGAATTTTATGCCGAAATTCAAGACGTCTTATCATATACATGATTGGTTTGTCCATAAATTATAGTCTTGCTATCTCATTATAAATTTTAAATGTAACCAAAACATCATAAAACGCTTTCATCATTACCTGCATCACTATCAAGACTCATTCGTAAAATAAATTGATAGGGAATAGAGTTTATCACACTTCCAGTAATGAATTATTCGGTTTTATTTAATTCTATTCACTTGTGAATCAGTATGGAAATTCTTCAATATGATAAAATAGAACTTTTACATTGAATGATTCGTTTCCGCCCTTAACTCAATATTATTTGAAGCAAGTACGTATATATATATATGCAGTAGAATCTAATCAATTAACTAATGGTAACAGTGATAAATTAGAAAATCATAGGTTAAAATACTTTTTTTAAAGTTCCCATGGTTTCACTTATTTGGATCTTTACTTCTTTATTGTTTTCAACATAATAAAGGGGTGTAAGATAAAATTTTATCCATTCAGATTCACAATCGAATAAATGGATAGAAATATCTTAGAACATTCAGGAAAATATAATAAATGAATGAATGAGATAGAATTGACTTCTTTAGAATAGATACATGGGTTATACGGCAACGAACATGAAAGTAAAATAATACAGTACTGTATATCTTTGAAAAACAGCTATAACTGTAGTGAATGAGAATATAAATGGAGATCAATCGAATATGTTTGAATACAAAATTACAGAACAAATTAGTAAAATCTGAACACCATACAGGAATAAATTAATTTGCAAAATGTCGATTAATCGTTTCAGACTTCACTATTCATTGATTCACACTGCAATCATTCTTTGTTCTCATTCTCTTTTGTTCGATCATCTTAAACTTCAGCCGACAGGCATTTCGCTTTCGATTGGTGATACATACTACTTATATATGTGGACATCAGTACCACACACCATATAACTATTGTCAAGAGGATTATTAGAAATAAAAAGATATTCTTCAATAGCTATGTACTGACATCAATCCCCCATCTATTTGAACAGTTTACAACTAAGCAAATTATGTAATGTACAAATCATTTAGATCATATTGGTTATTTTTATACCTTCTTGCTAATTCCTTTTATTATATTCGGATGAAGAATAGGTGAATAGTAACCGCTAGGATCTATTTGTGGACTTTTATTACACATATTCTTATTGTATAACTATTAATTAACTATATTATATACATATTAATAGTCCTTTTATTTGACCTATTGAATATTATCATGCGATTTACTATTCTTAAGATGTTTCCATTTCATTAGTAACAGTCTCTCACAATCACAGCCACTTTCTGGCTGGATCTGTTCTATGATGCAGTCTGATTTGTTTGTATATAAACTTTTCATGTCTGAAATATATGATTCGTATGTCGGAGGCTGATATTGGTGTTCCGGACTAAAGCGGCTGGGTTAGGAGAGAAGCTACTACTTCAGAGGACCAATAAGAGCTCTAGACCGCTAGTAGAGGTTTATGCGTCATTAGTCTGGTTGTGTAAGTCGATGTCTCTAATTGTTTGTCGTATCATGTGATCTAATTAATCGAATATAAGGACATAATACTTATGACCATATTGCACTCATTGTCGTACAATTATCACCTCTTACCCATGTATCCTTTGGTATAACTTTTTTCAATAGCTGTGTTATCCTGTCTGTGTGTCTACATATTCAGTTATTGTTTATCAACTATAAAAACTGTGTTACACATAATTAAGCGTTTTTGGCTAGAGGGAGACCAATTCCACGAATAACCGAACCCATTTACTTATTTTCACAAACTACCCTTATGAAATAAACTCATCTTCAATACTAATCGTATTCAAGTCCTTATTTCCCGTTATCGTTAATAGGATTAGTGGCCAGATATTTGTGAGTGAACTCTTTATTTATATTATTTATGCCAATGTAAACGGATAGCTATCAATGACAGTGAACAAAGATCATGATTTACAACCATTGAATTCTAACTTAATCGTTAAGTGGTATGATGCTTAATTCAAACCACAAAAATGATTCTGTGTTTCATTGCATGTTAGGTTGTTGGTGTTTACTATCAGAAAACCTTTAAATCGTATGAAGCAACAGTCGTATAGCCCTCCGGTTATAATGATTATTAAGATAAAATTTATTTTATAATCAAACTACCAACCACTAAAGTGAGAAGAACTTCATGTTTTTAATCTTTCGTTTCATTCCCCCCTCTCAGCAATTGAAATTTTGACCAATCATATTTTAACGATGCATGACATATTGATTGACCTAATGAGTTTAAAGGATCACTGAGTCTTTGTTCTCGATCACAGATTGAGTGAACTTGTGATAGCTTCAAACTTAGCAGTACTCATTTAAAAGACTGTGATTTAAGAATATTTTGCCATGTATGATAATACATATCAACTTGGATTTGCTTTCCTCTTAACTGGTAAGTAAATTTTTTGATAAAATCTTATTTCCATAATTGTATTCATAAAATAAATTTGGATAGACGATCGTTAATTCGCAGTGGAAACAAGAGGAATTCGACTGTTGATTCAAACTAAGACATTACAAACACTAGTTCAAGCTTATCTGGGTAATACTTAGTATCATGCAGATATTGTTTCTTTTAGTATCTGCATCCTTAAACTCCGATCGTATTGAAATACACTCTGTTATTTTTAATATTCTTAGCTTGAGATAGAATGGTGGTCGGATGTAGTCAACAGGAAACCCTAGACCCGGTTTTCGTGCTATTTGGCACTCGTCAGCAAGGTGTACCTGTAATCTTGAGGGAACTGGTGCTCCCTGACGGAATCGATCCCGCGTCACGGTTTCGGTCCGGGTAGCCTGATGGTACTAGTGGCCACATTGCAACTCGGTTGATGGCATTCAATCTCTATTAAGAAGGGTTTGACACACATGACATTGATCACCACCCAGTGATCAATCAATTATGAATTCTTAGTTTTTCATAATGGTGGTTTTCGTTCTTTTCATATTAGTTTGGAGCAAATCGCATAGCCTTAATCTATTTGAAATCAAGAACTAATTATTAGTATCGTGGTAGTGAGTAATTCGTAAATATTCCGAAATAATCATCGCTGAAAGGGACTACCGAATTGAATTAAAGATATTCAAACTAATAAGTAGTAACTATGAATCTCTTTTAAATAAATAAGAATATTATTTAATATCCGAATCTATGATGAACATTAATTTAAATTACGGTGGTATGAATATTTATATTTGGCAGTTTAAGTTCACCTGCCTCCAAATTCCCTGGTTTGGTCGAAGGTGCGAAGAGTTAGCTCTTCCTCTCGAAATGCTCTCACATGGCCACACGTATGCAGCCATCTACAGGGAAGTCTTACTCACCGCTTCCTTGCAGTGTGGGTGTTGTTTACGAAATTGAGAAGACGAAAAGCGAATGCCCGGCTTCTTAACTGAGTTGGTGGATACGGTGAATCCACCCTAATTTCAAACCAACAGTGCACTAATCAAATCATATTTTTGACATTGAGATACATGGTTAATGAAAAATAGAGAAGTTCATAGGAAGCTTTATCCATATAGAGCTAGTCAACACTGGAAAATTAATGGATGTAAAGTTGGCTAAACGAGTTTTGAATTGATGAAGTATATTGAGAAAGTTAGTTAAAAGTCATCGCAACTATTGATCAGTTTGTGTTATCTATTTCAGGTTTGCTAGGCTTGTGGTTACACACCAAGAACATTTCACGGTTAACGAAGATAAGTTCTATTTTGCCCGATGGTTTGAAAACGTTTCATTATCATTTGGTTGCGGCTTGTTTGGGTAGCCTTGCAATGACACCTTTTAGGGTAATCGGTATTTATCAAAAAGGGTAAGAATAAATTTAATCTTATCTTAATGGATATACATATTTAACTTCCGGACGGTTCAGATCCTAATTAGCATGACTTACATTATTTCAGTCTTATGGCTTGAAACCTCCACTAAAACTCTAGAATAAATATGCACTATGATCAAACTTTTATAGAATATAATAAAATGATGATATATTTGTAGTGTCATAATGAGTAGAAACATCAATTAGAGTAACGACCTATTCCTCTGTTCTATTTAAATTTAACTGATTCGAATTGGGCAACTGGGCAGTATCCTAACCCTCACACACATCGAATGATTTACGTGACGCATATCTATTTGGTGGATCCTTTTACCAACGTTTGTGTTTAACTAAATCTAAATTTATTCCGATAGTTTGTTTTCTCTGAAGAAATGGCTTTCACCAGATCGTGTAAGGTCAGAAACTCTCATTTCTACTCATTAGGATATTAAAGATGTATCATTATTTTATAATTAAAATTCTACCCAATACTTAATTAATTTGAAGTTACCAAGTCTAACCTTAATAACAAAACATTCATTGAATACTTATTCTGAGTAGCAATTGAAATAAGCTCAAATCTTGAAGGTCAGATACAACGTAAGACCAGGTACACATATGCATCAGTCCAAGTTGCCACATCTCATTAGCACAACAAGATGAACACCGAATATTATAGAAGTAGTTGCCTCAATGATAGTAATATATATAAAAGAATGATTGTCTATAACGATATAAAACAGGAAGAAAGAATTAGCTAGTAGAGAGGAAGACATAAAGCAATTTTAACCTCACACTTTAAGGGAAGACAGAGAGCGTACATATAGTGAACGAAATTACTTAGTATCTCAATAAAATCTGAGACTTCAAGCACTGATGCCACGTTTTGATATTGCCACTCCTAACTTTCTTCCAACAACCTCCAACACTAGTCAGCTCTGTGCGCCCATGGCCCATTTACAACCTAATATAGCACCTAAAATCCTAGCCTCAATAATTATCGGACGCCTAACAAAGACTCGTGAACTTCAAACACGAAAAAATCAGGCTGGCATCAGACCTGGTCGTGGCTGCATCGACCACATATTCATTATTCGTCAGGATTCAGAACACAGGCATGCTTATCAGTGTTCGGCAATGATTATTTACTTGACTTAAAAGGACTGAAAACACTAATGAGATTTTTTATTAGTATTTGGCTAATGACTCATGAATATTGCTGTAATTCCTGGGACTTATTTATTCAAAGGAATATTCCACTGACTTTTGAATTGTATATATATTACATTCATCATAATTTTTACTTTAAGCTTTTGTTCATTGCTTTCATGAAACTGTTCATTCATCTCTGAAGAGGTAATTTAATGTAGAGCTAAATTGTAACCCCTTGGAAAAAACATTTATGAAAATTGAATGAAACATATGAAACGAAGTTTTTCTAATTGTGTATATGAGCACACTGATGAAACCAAAAATAAACCTAAAAGGAACTTTAATACAAAAAAGATTCTATCATACACTTTTAAATGGATTATCAGGTAAAACAGATGACAAAAAACACCGTTTTTTTCTTGTTTATCTTGTGAACCAATGTTAAATATACTAAAAGTATTCTAGAGGACATGAGTTGATTGAAGATGAACTACTGGACTTGTGTTCAAGTTTACAAATGGTACCAGGATATTCTAAAATTTCGAGATGGTGGGGATGGTTTATAGCTCAGTTGGATGCTTTTAATGAAGTTTCGTTCTCTGAGCTAGATGAGTTGATTGTGGAGCTCTCATCGTTCTTTTGAACGATATCATTAACACAAACTTCAGGTAGAAGTGAAGTCTGGTTTGTGTATTTTCGGTCTACTGTAGAGAACAGAATTCCATCAAAATATCTGAAAGATTATTTATTTGATTCTATCTAGTATTTCATATTCTTCAGATACATACGATAGGCCTTAACCTTCATATAATTAATCACCCATGATCATAATCTAAATTGTACATATTTCACATCATAATTTAGAGATATAAAAACTTAATCATTTTGTTATAGTATCAAATGTCAAATGATACAGTGAAAAAGAATGAGTTTAGATATTCTATCCAATGATCAAACTAAATGTTAATGGATTAATAAATCAAACATGTTTGATTCAGGATGGTTAAGAATAATGAAAGGAATAGATTAACTGAAAGAAGAACGGTTGCATATCATTAGGGCAATACTTCATATTCTATAAATAGTTATTTAAGTTATATAAGAACTTTTGTTTAAATCTGAACGAGTAGTTTCACAATATTTGGGCGCTGAATTAGTTAGTTTAATTAGGATTACTATCCACATTTGGCCCTGGTTACGTACGTAAGAATACTATATATAAAGTCATATATCCTAACACTGAGTTCTAGTCTTTTCCAATTAGTGTGGACCATACATACTCTTGATAGTTGAAAAATGTTTTAGGATAACCCAATTATAACAGATAGTGTTATTCGTCAGTATATTGATACAATTTATTTAGTCACCTGTATACTGTTATTTATTATGGTTTTCGCTGTAAACTACCCATAGACTTTAGTCTCTCCTATAAGCTAACGTTTTGTATGAATCCAGAATTTTCTTTCTAAAGATTGTACAGAATGCAAATATCTTACATGTTTCAGTACATCAATCAACGCAAACATTACCAACGTGATTATATTTGAAATTCTACTACTGTGAATGTAAGAGGTAGTGATTAATAGATAGGGAATAATTCAAGAATGGAAAATTATTTAACAGGTTAAAATAAGGCTTATGATAAGAGAGACATGAATATGAATAATTTAGTTAATCAACAATTATACAACAAAAATATACGCACAGTATTGGTCGGTAAATAGATCCCAAAAAATTACCACTCATTATTCTTATCGGGACAACAACCAAGTAGTATTATATTGAACGTGAACACAAGTAAGGGCAACCGAATGTGTTTCAGCACAAAATTACAGAATCTCTTAGCGAAATTTGTGAACCATACCGTCAGTACTTCATTTGGAAATAAATCAGTCAATCGTCCTTTTTTCCACACTAATCATTCTTTGTTCTCGTTCTCTTTTCTTCGGTCTTCCTAACCTTCTATCTCCAAACATGACACTTTCAATTGATAATCCATATTACTTATATCTACCAACATCAGTAGCATACACCATATGACTAAACATTGATAGTAAGCTGTTCAGTAAAATACTGTATTTTGTTTCAACTAACTTAATATGTAAATATGTTAAAGTCTGCACGTTATATCTACTACTGATTGGTAGTTGTAACGCTATTCACTGACTTATATCGAAATACAGAATTGAAAGCACAAGATTAATTCAATAATAATAATAATAATAATAATAATAATAATAATAATAATAATAATAATAATAATAATAATAATAATAATAATAATAATAATAAAAATAAGAATAAGTATAATAACTGATCCAAGAAATGAATTTAAGGTTGTTTATATGATTCGTTCAAATCTACCCAGATTTCTTCGCATCCAACTTTTAAAAATAGCCGAAGCTCTTACCATCCAGGAGCTTAAACCAGAACTATGTGTACAAAAGAAGTACGTCTTATGGTTATCGTTACCTTGGACTTAAGTATTTTGATTATCCAATTATTATTATTATTACTGCATTCTCCCTTTTATTCAATATATTAGTTAATATTAAAGATCATTTACTCAAGGATGTGTATAGATATATCTATAAGGAACCAGTTACATTGAAGAAGTTGTGAATAATTCTACTTCAGTCTTATTCAGTTTTCATAACTTTCAAGTGTTGAAAAGAAATTTCCAGTTAAATATTTTAGGACGAAACGGGCGTCCAGTGTTTCCAAGTTTTCCATGATGGTCTAGTTTCAACTGACTCATGATCTTAACCATTGAAATTACTACAATCTCCACAAAATCCATCTAATATTTTATTTCTTTAAATATTTCAGATGGCCTTTTGGTCATTTTGGCTGTCAGTCATATGCATTTGCTGGAATGTTTTTTGGAATGACATCAATTTATTTGTCATGTTTTATCTGTTTCTTCACTATGGTTGAAATATTGAACTTAACCTATAGTAAGTAGACAAAGATTATATTCTGTTATAACTTGTAGCCTGTGTGCCTTGTTAATGTATAACATAATGATATCATTAATTAGAGAACAGTGAATTATCGACAGGACCAATGACGCATAAAACCCGTGCGAGCAGTCTTTAGCACTTATTATTATCACGTAATCTAACTTATCATTATTTAATTCCATTAATCTCTACAATTATCACACAATTTATGAACTTCACTAAATTATTACACCACTCAACCTGGATTACCCCCCCCTCTTTTAACCTCTGACCTGTTTCTAGCATCTATATATAGTTATTATTATAATCCAGTTATTTACACTCATTTATGTCAATTGTTTCACACTATCTCCATGTAAAAAAATTCTATTACAATTTTGGTTTGTAAGCAGCTGACGAGAAACCTCGGAATAATATGAATTCATACTATTCTGCATCAATGTTTGTTCTTGCTCTATTTAAAATGAAATATGTACTCTGGATTCCAGTGCTAGGCATGGTCCATTTAATCTAAGTAGAAATAGACTATTTATCTGCATTTGATTAGCCCTAATTTTAACGATCATTTCGATTTCTTCCAAATTTGACTGGGTCCTATACAAGTGACTTTATCAGTCCAGCAAAGTATGTTAAATTAATTCTTACGTCATACCGATCTTATAGGAATTACCTTGACATTTTATGAGCAAGCACACGACATCGAGATTCAGGTTGTTAATGAAGGGATAATACATAACCTTGAATTTAAAGGAAACCTATATAACTTCATAGTAAATAACAGTTTAGTTGTGTTATATTGTGATGTCAATTAAAAGCTACCAGTTCCTTGTATATTGAAGGGCAGCGAAAACACTGTAAATAAATTTTAAGAATGAAAGTCAAATTGAACTGTGATGATAGTTATTATCCTCCATTTTTTTACAGTCCGTCATTTCATATCTAATCAATATAATTACATTCCTTTTGGAATTTGGATGATCGGTGCATTGTGGGCTATTCTACCACTCTATGGATATGGCAGGTAAAGCGTACCTTCTTTTTACTGATAATCTATATGGTTGCTTACAGTTCCAAATGAAGGCTAAATGCATTATACCGATTGATTTTACATGTAATTTACTGAACTACCAACATTTAGGATCAAATCACTCAAATAATAACAGTCTTATCACCTTAACTGAATAATATTCAATCATTAACATATATATATGTTCAGCAATCAACATAGCAATTGATAAAATAAGATTTATAGTTCAGGGGCTTGGACTAAACAAAATATCTGGTACTTTAAGACTACTACTGTTGATTAAAGAGTTTCAACTTTAATTAATCAAAAAAAGCATCATATTCCTTTTTCTTCATCATCACATGGGTCCAATAAATAATTCCAAACATGAGGATTAGGCCAAAATTTGTCATTCATCCTCTTATTGATTACAAATTTTCAACGTGAAAAACCTTTTTTTGTTGCTGTACTGACTATTCAAACTTCAAATCAAGACATAGTTTCTTTATTTTTTGGTTAGTAAATTTTTAGTAATACTAATTTATAGTTCAGTTACTTCGTCATTTTATTTTTGGATTTATTCTAAAATACTCATTAAATATTTGCAGTTCAGAATAAAGTTAGCAGTATGTCAGTAACAACGTAGAACTTTATATGTACGTATATCAGTTCGAGTTGCATACCATATTAGCACACTGATACAATTGTCGATTCAAATCCTGTAGTGGTAGAGGTAGTAAAAGTATAAGCGGTAAAGATGTTATTCAAGGAGTATAATCCAGTGAAATAAATTTAGAAAGAGAAAAAAGGGACATGAAGAATTGAGAAGATTAGGATTTGGAAGAACACGAAGAGAGGATGCACCTGAGCCATTGCAAACGATTTTGAGCCATGCCATTCAAGGTCTCTAATCATCGGTTGCTATCGTCTTGAGGATCCCAACCAGATAGTTTACACCTACCAAAAAGGTTCATTCAGTTCACTTGTCAGTGACTTCATGGAGTCGTGCCATGTTTTGATCTGGCCGCCTCTAGCTTTCTTCCAACCTACTCCTACACCATAAAACATCGCTCTTTGGGGCAGTCGGTGGTTAGGCCTACATAACACATGTCCCAGCCATAAAGTTAGCATATTAATAAGAATCATATGTTTGATTAACTGACTTAAGATGAAATGAATAAGACTAAACAAAAATCTATATTCATTAGAAAATTTTATTCAGTATGTATTTTAAGTGAATGCCATTCTGGTAACTGTCTGGCGGGTCAACAATCTGCCTTAATTAAACAAGTCAACATCGATTAATCAAATTTACGGTCACATTAAAATATAAATAGACGAAATCAAGTCATAACACTAGTAATGATACGTCTGTAATATCTCAGTGAACATAAAATCGAGTTTCTGATGTTTATTAGCTCAGTATAAGTTATGGTAACGATCATACAACCAATTTTGTTATGGTTAATTTTAGTTAAGTGTTTTTTACTAACTTACTTAACAGATAATGCTATTGGAATAGTCACGATTCGCATATTTCTTTGTAGTGTTATAATCACTAGATCATATGACAGACTCTAGCTAATATGTTGATCACTTAAATATCACTAGATGATTCATTCTCTTCCGCATGTATATATGTACTCAAATCCTGTTATTATTAGCTTTTGCTTTGCTGTGCCCTTATGCAATTTGACTATAAATTTGTCTATGTACTGGATCATATATACCTATTTGCCTCTCGGCTTCAAATGAGCTTAATGTGATTATAGCTTTGTGATAAGTGCTATCCACTAATAAACTGTGGTTGCTGCTTCTCATTGCCTTCTGATTTCATACACCGTTGAGATTTATATTATAACGGTTATTGAGGTGATAGATTAACGAAGCAAGGCCACTACAAAATTGCTTCTTCATTAGGACATTGAAAGTAGATCATTATTCTTTATTCTAAACAACCTATACCATTTTAAATGTGTTTGAAATGATTATCAAGTCGAAACTTGATAATGATACTAAATCACTATGTTAGCTTTTTATAATGTTTCAGATATACATTAGAACCTCATAAAACATCATGTCTATTGGACTGGACTAATATGGATAAAAGCATGAAATTGTATATGTTTTCACTAATGATATTTGGTTATGTACTTCCATTCGGTATCGGTATTTGGTCACAATATAAACTGACACAGCATACAGTATCGGATGCAAATAAAAATAAGAAGAAGAACACTACAAAGATTGAGATTCTTATAAAGGTAGATTTATTTATTTCATTATTGCTTAATTATTTTTAAGATCTATTTCATGGAAACTCCGCCTTGAGTCCCTCCGGGGGTTACTGTCGGTCCCAAGTCCGGACAAAGGAGGAGGGTTGAGCATGGGGTTAGCGTCCGCATCCCGTAGAAAACTAACTCGCTAAAAAACGCTAACTAGGAAAAATTTTCACAATTGAAAGGTTTATTTATATTTAGAAAAGAGTTTTGTGGATATTATAATAGTTTATTAGTTGAGTTCATGAGTCAATTTAAGATAAACCACCATGGAAAACCTGGAAACACTGAACGGGCGTTTCGTCCACCAATGTCAGTGGTGGAGGGTGGTGCAATTTCGTGGATTGGTTGGAGTTAGATAATAATACCGTTAGATGCCGGCTCAGTTAATATTAAACCGTGAAAAATAAAATGATAAATTTGATACGACTAACAAAACAATGATAAACCAATTATCATAACAATGATATGAACTATAATATAGGGTAGTATGAAGTTTCTGAAAAATCGTAAAAGCTTAGCCAGTAATAATAATAATGATAATTTTGATGGAGTTTTGTTCTCTGAGCTGGATGGTTTGGTCGTGGAGCTTTCATCGTTCTTCTGAACGACATCATCAGCACAAATTTCATATAGAAGTGAAGTGTTCGAATTTCTCCATATGCGTTTCACAGCTTGTTCTGTACACCTCGACGTTGATTGGTTCTTATTGACCTTAAATTTGTCATTGTTTACTTCTTTGTTTTGGTTGTGTTGAGGCGGCCCGAGATCTGACTCCTATTAGATTGTATGGATGTTTGCTATCACCTATTCTCGTATATAATCGTCGACTTAAATCACGTTAGTCAATAACGGAATTTAGTTAAGTCAATTAACGAGAATAGCCTCTGAATACATATATTTCGTATGTAAAGTGAATGTAATAGAACAGAGCAAAACGACGCGCGTGGAAGATGGCTGGGAAGGCAACTCCATTTCAAGCTAGGCATTACTCAATATTTATAGGCAGACAAACAACAGACATGTGATGAGTTATGGGACATGAAGTGCACACACATACGCTCATATGAAAACAGTCAAGGCTAATAAGCGAATAATTAACAAGGTCAAAATATGGCTGCAGTAGGATGAATAAAATAGGATGTCCGCCAGTTAGAATAAGGTAGATGGGCTTGCCATAATAACTGACACTACAGTGTCTCCCATTGGTTTGATTTTTGTTCCCATATTTGTGCATGATGTTCCTGATTGGTTGATAAACTGGATTGATTTCAATATGTTTGTTGATTGCTGATTGACCTGAGTGCCAGGCTTTTAAAAATTCTCTGGTGTTTTTGGAATTCCCTCTATCCAAGATTTCCACATTTTCTCAATCGAATGAGTGTCCGCAGTTTTTCACGTGTATTTATATAAGTGAGGAAATATCATGGTGTTTGACTGCTAATTGATGTTCATGTAGGCGAAGGTGGCGTCCGCTTTGTCCGATGTAGTGTGTTTCGCAGTTGGCACAATTTATTCTGTAGATGATGTTTGATTTGTTTTCCTTTGGTTTTCCACCATTTCCGTCATGATAATAATAACTATTAAATAGGGCTGAAAAAGATGAAATTGTCACATTATACCCCTGAAACAAAGCAAAGTGATGTAAAAACTGTTTGCATTCAAAATTCGGGATTGATACAAAGAATCCATTCTATTTGGATTACTTTGTAATGTAATAGGTAACATATTTCACATAGTATAGTTATTTATATGTTAACAGGATGCTGTAACGCTTGTTATGGAAGAAAAATATCGGTATAGGCAATCGTTAGTATTGAGTTTCTTAGAACACTTTATCTTTTCGCTCCTTGGATTAACATTTATAAAGATTCACTGAAAGTGATTGTCTTGCCTTACTTTTACATTCTGTTAAATGTTTTATATGGCGTTTTTTTAGATGAAAATCGTAGCGGTCAGTGAATAAGCTTCATCTATACAAGTTTTCTTGATCTCTGACGGATGATAGGTGAAATCTCTTTGAAAATGTTACTTAATTGGTACTCTACTTATCAATGACTTAAGTCATCATCATGATCATGTTAGACTTAATATCATCAGTGTTGTGACTTTATGTCCGACCTTTTATCACATGATTTATCCACCAATCAAAACACGATTTATACAATCTTAGCACCGTGCCAAACCAATGACGTTCGACCGGTATGGGCAGTCTAGCGTCCTTATTGGTCCTATGTCCGCCTAACCCGTCCACTTGAGTCCAGAACACCAATACCAGCAAATCGGATCGAATTATTTATTTCAGACATACTTGGTTTATATATCAACCAAACAGACCGCAACATACCATAAAATAGGAAATAAAGTTTGTACACAATAAAGCCAAAAAGTGACTGTGAACGTGTCAATAAACTGAACATAACTTAGGAATAGTAAATCGTAAAATAATAACTTATGGGTCAAAATAAGGCTTATAATGAAAGGAATATAAATATACATAATATAATTATTGAATAGTTATACCATAAGAATATATAGATAATATCAGTCAAATAATATGTCTCAGGAGTTACTCGTGATTTAATCTTTGCTCGGATATAACAATCAGGTTTGTAGTTCAGTTTTCTCAACACCAGATTGTATGTGGTGTTGGTCAGTTTAAGATGATGGTTGGGCAAAGCTGTGTATTGACTGATGTTAGAGGCACATACTACTGTGCTTTAACTTGATAGTCTGGTACTTATCGTGTTCATCAAGAAAAATGATGGTCCTGGATTCGACACCGTACAGAGTCCTGATTAAACAACGTCGGACCATAGTAAATAAAGTTTCCAGAATTTCTAATGTCTACTTAAATGTTATCGATTCATTTTTTCTAAAGAAAATATCTTACCCATGTATTAATGAAGTGTTTTTCTTTGATCTTTTGTTCACTTCATGAAATCATTCAACAAAGTTGAATAATTCAATCTTATTATTCAATATAGTTGGTTGGTTGTCGTATGCTCTATTAGCCATTAATTCATTAATACCTGGACAAATAACATTGAATCCATTTACATATTGTATACCACAACTTCTTGCAAAAATTTCTCAAGCATTTTTACCTATAGCTTATAGTTATACAGAAAAACAATTTGGACAATGGAATAAAGCATATGGAAATATAGAATAGAAATATTATTTAATTTTTGAACAAATTTTCTTGTAGTATCTTTTATATTATACAATAGTCAGATGTAATAGTAATCGTTATGTAATCAATTGTTTGTTCTTATTTCATTTCTGTTTGGGTAAATCCTGTAATCTCTATGAACAATTGAGTTTGAAACATAACTGATAAGTTTTATTAATTTGAACACTTTATTCAGTTCCTAAGCTATTCTGGTAATCCGCAAGCTAGAACTACACAGGACCTGAACTCGAGAGAAAAGGCGCAAAATAACCGGAAACACTTTACTCCAAAGTTTCGTTTTTATACAGAAAAACACGGGTATTTATAGATGTTAACATTTATTAAATCAACATCATATTTTGGGCAATCCGTTAAAAGACCTTTGGAAGATCTAAAAACCTTTAGATATTTGGGCAGCATCATTGATGCACAAGGAGGATCTGATGCAGATGTCAAAGCGCGGATCGGTAAATCAAGAGCAGCATATTTAAAATTGAAGAACATCTGGAACTCAAAGCAACTGTCAACCAACATCAAGGTCAGGATTTTCAATACAAATGTCAAGACAGTTCTATTTTATGGGGCGGAAACCTGGAGAACTACGATAGCAATCACCCAGAAAATACAGGTGTTTATTAACAGTTGTCTACGCAAAATACTTCAGATCCATTGGCCGGACACTATTAGCAACAACGTACTGTGGGAGAGAACAAACCAGATCCCAGCGGATGAAGAAATCAGGAAGAAGCGCTGGAAGTTGATAGGACACACATTGAGGAAAGCACACAACTGCGTCACAAGACAAGCCCTCACATGGAATCTTAAAAGATAAAGGAAACGAGGAAAACCAAAAAACACATTACGCCGGGAAATGAAGATAGACATGAGAAGAATGAACAAGAATTGGATGGAACTAGGAAAGAAGGTCCAGGACAGAGTGGGTTGGAGAATGCTGGTCAGCGGCCTATGCTCCATTGGAAGTAACAGGCGTAAGTAAGTAAGTAAGTAAGCTAAAAGCCATATGTTACTGACCAATAGTAGCACGCCAAGTTGACATTCTAGAAAGCTCCATCATACTCTGATTGGCTAGGACTCTTCGGCTCCTTTAGCACCTCTGGAGGCTCCGTTGCAGTTCTCAGAAAGCCGACTCAACAATAACTATTTGACTTTTATAGTACTCTTCTTCTTTACTGATTGGTTGACACGGTCAAATTCAGAAACTGAAATTATATTAAATCAGTAATAATACAGTTTTCACAAAGCCGTTAAATACAATTTTCGATTTTGACAACAATACTTAATGGCTACTTTGAGTAACTGAAAACATCGGATAAACAGGAATATCTCTTCATCACAAAGATAGTTGAAGTGAGATTTATTTGAATTTCAATCGTTTTTATTCGATAGGTAGAAACAAAGTTTTATTGAACACTGTTCAATGGTGTACTGAAACTAAGTCCGTAGGAAAAAACCGGAGAATAGTTACCCACAGTTGAAATGTGTCTATTATATATTGGTTGCTCATAAAGTATGAGAAAACAATAACGAGAGGAATGAATTATACTACTATCATGAATTCAATTTTGATTAATTTTAGACTATTACTATGTAGAGGACATATCCAGTCACTGAACTAGTTTCATTGTATCAAATAAATTATCCATTGAGACAAGTAGAATTGGACCAACTACCATCTCATGTTACATCCAGTTGGTATTTACGTGCCAAAGTACTTATGTCATAAAAACAGGAATGAAGGTTTTTCTGAGCATTTCAAAGCACATTTCATAACAATAGATGTTAATTCATAAAACCCTATTGAGACATAAATAATGAAAGTTGAGCAAAGGTATATTTCTTCTCAATCAGCGCTTCGTCATGGCTTTGCACTAGTATATAAATTTAAGAGCCAAATTTAAATTGTCATGATAACCACCAATGACTGACTGATAAGTCTCCTTTTGTCTTTTAGTCGACAATAAAAGGTGTAGTATAGAAATGCATTCGTGTGCTTGTAAGTCCAATCAAACCGAGTGCGCTAGAGCAATTAAAATGGTAAAGGACGAACTGGGTAGTCGTTCACTGAATATACGTTTGATGGTTTTTTGTGCTTGTCGAATTGATGTTTCGCTAATTATATCACCTTTGAATTGCACTTCAAAAATAAAGGTTTTTTGGTACCAGTAAGGATTAAACTTCAGGTTTAGTTCTAGATATATGTTTCATTAAGGACTTTGATGAGTATACGTGTTTATTTAGTAAACCAAGAATAAATTTTAGTTCTCTTAAAGGGTTTAATCGGAACAAATAATGTTGGCTTTGTCAGTTAAGGATTTGATTATGTTTTTTTTAAACATTTTAATGGGATAAAGCTCGAAAAATGTGTATGTTAGTTGTGTGCAGGCTTCTCGTCAATAAAACATCTTGGAAGAAGTGATGTCTTTGTTTGCTTCTTTCTTCGTGTTAATGATTACCTGATGAAAACTATCAAACGTTTCGGTAGACTTTCACATTTGCCATGGATTTTATGACCATAATTGTGAGAAAATTTTATTTCGTCTATCCTAACTTTTAGAAGTTCGTTTTCGAATTTTTCAAAAACAAACCGTCTATGTTTAAATACAGTAATGGTTCAGTTGCAACGAACTTCTATTGTCTATAAAGTTCTTTATGGAACAAAGTATGTATATTCATGGTATGTCTGAGTATTAATTCCATTGGGAATACCTATGTAGCTGTAATCGTACCGAACGTCAATGGGGAATCGGTTCATCATTTACCTGATAGTGGTCACATTGTTAGCACTTCAACTTTGTTCGAAATAATCGCTACTCAGACAACTTTGAATTCATTATAGTTCACATATAGGCCACCTCAGTTAAAAGAATGAATGTGTAGTAAAAAAAGAATAAAAATGTAAATCTTGAACTACCTTGGTGAATTCTATCTTTATTACATGACCTTGATCATAAACTTATTTTATTAATCTTTGCTTATTTTGTGAGCGTAACTCATTTTTGTGATTATGTTATTCTTCCATTCTGATTTCTTTTATCCTATTCAACTTCTTTAATGTTACATAATGATTATTATTGTTTCTAGGTAATGAGCAATTGAGGAGAATCAAGGAAATATATGAAATCATCTACAAAGTTCAGTTTTATTCTATAGTCAAATTGAATAATTTAACACGTCAGACAGTAACAACGTGGAACTTCGTAAGTACGTACATTAGTTCGAGTTGCCATACCACATTAGCACGCAGATACAATTGTCGATACGAATCCCATAGTAGTAGAGGTAGTAAAAGTATAAGCAGTTGTGGTGGTCAGTGTTCAATATAATCCTTAAACTTCGTATACAGTTCGTCTTAATAGCCGTCACTAGATAACGCCCCAACGGTATATTAATCAGAAGGCGAATACGAAGTATTGATCACGTTTATTACGGGATCACACAGAGATATCCAAAATTACAGGTGCGTCAAACAAGCATATAAGAGTTTTGCCGAAAGGCAAGCAGGCAAGTGAGCGAGTGAGTCAGCGAATATGAGTACGAGTAAGCGAGCATACTTAAGCGAGAGAGAGCAATGAACATGAATAACATGGATATATAAATATATGAATCATCGCATCAACTAAGCGGTTAGTAGTAGTAAGGCTAACAGCGTGAATGAATGCGTAGGCAGTAAGCAGCGCTTAAGCATACATGTTCATACATTCACGATAATAATCAAGATACAATGGTATAGATAAGTTGTTGTTGTACTGATGACTCAGTTCATTAATAAGTTAACAAAATGACTTAACCGAATTAAATGTGAGCAAACTCGATTGCATGTGAGTTGCTATACAGTAATTAGAAAGATTAGGGTTTGATCAAAGGAGGGATTCACCTGCACCAATGCAAACAAGTTATTATTTCTTATTAGTTTCTATCTCATTCCCATATTATTAATTAGAACAACATATACAGAAGAACAATATTGTTTTCCATTAGATCCTCATCAGGCTTTACTGGAATATAGAGTAATGTTAATCTGCATATACGCAATTAATTAAACCAATCAAGACAGTTTATGAGTCAATGATAATAGTGGAATAGCTCAAATATTTAAACAGTACACATTGATAGTATGATGACAAGTGTACTAGTCGTGATAAGAATAATAAAGGCTTGAATCAATGTTGCATACCGGGAAATAGGTCAATGACTTGAAAAACATTTATAAATACTATAGGATTATGTAATAAATAGTGTGGGTTGGAGAATACGGGTCGGCGAACTATGCTCCATTACGAGTAACAGGCGTAAGTAAGTAAGTGTCAAAATAATCTTACAATGAAGCGTATATTTCGAAAAAAGTGGGGAGGGATAAAGAAAAATAAACGAACAAATAGTATGGAAAATAATAATAAATAAAATCATTTATTCAGGCCAAGAGGGGGGTAAAAGTGTTACTGATTTCTTATGAATACAAGGACTTGGATTGTTACCTCGAATTCCTACAGCTTCTGATATGTGTAATAGACAAGATCGAACCTTATAAGGGAAACTAGTAAGAATACGACAAATCAATTTAAGTGACCTACTTCTACTACATGACCTCTATCGATCAAGTGTGACCGAATAGATCTGCCTATTTTTATGACGGTACCCTTTCCTAGTCACTAAGGAAGGTGTTCGCTAACTCGACTCAGTTGTCTGGTTGTGAACTCAATATATAGTTTTCTCTACCAGAGCAGAGAAAATCGTGGATACACAATGAAATGTAACAGAACCAGGTAGCTTATCATTTACTTGAGGAATCACCATGGATCGAGTCGAGAACCATAGACTGAGGTTAGCTGCATTAAGCGTTCTCTTCACTGATTTAGTAAGTTTATCCTGTAGCACATCAAATATATCCCAATTGAATCGCAGCTTCAGAAAGAGAGGTTTCTTGCTAGCCGTTGATTTCGCTACTTTCCTGTTTGTAACATGCAAGTGTTTTTTCAGAAAACCTTGTAAATAACCTATTTCATTCAACATATTGAGAATAAGCTCTAGTTCCTTGTGTATAGTATCGTCTGAGCATATCTCCCTAACT